TTCAGATTGTTTCCATGCTGTATGTCCACAGGCTATTTGCCCTACTTTCTCTCCAAGAGGAGCCCCAATGCCCCTGGGCTCTCCCGAGCCAAGCCCACTGACCATTAAAACTCCAGGCTTTAAGCCCTGCTGGTTGCAAGAACTCGTGAAGTTCAGCCCCTCTCACTTTCCAAGCCAATTGCTGTTGGGAATCATCTTCCCTGTGCACTCCCCTGTGTGCTAGTCTGTCTCTTACCCTTGCCTGGGACCACAGCTCTCTCCCTACCACAGTGGCCACAATCTGTTTCTCTCCCAAACTATGTCTCCACACTTCCTACTTTCTGCCATGTGGCCTCTTCTCTACCTTTAGTTGTGGAGTTTGTTCTGCCAGTCTTAAAGTCAATTTCTGGGGTATGTAGGATGACTTGATAGTTATCTAGTTGTATTCATGGGACAAGGGGAGCCTAGATTCCTCCTACCCTGCCACCATCTCCCTCCTTATCCCAGTATCTAATTTTTTAAGTGATTATGAATGATATTGTACTTTTAATGTTGGTGTCCATGTGTTTGTTAATATATAGAAATACAATTGATTTTTGTATATTTGTGTTGTATCCTGAGACCTTGCTGAATTTACTTATTAGTTCTTGGGATTTTCTACACAATCACGTCATCTTCAAATAGGGACAGTTTTATTTCTTCTTTTCCAATCTGTATGTATAGCTTTTATTTCTTTATTGCACTGGCTTCAACTTCCACATCATGTTTAATAAGAGTAGTAAGAATAGATACCCTTTCCTTGTTCCCCAGTCTGGATGAGGAAAGGATTTAGGTTTTCACTCTTAGATATAATGTTAGCTGTAAGATTTTAGTAGATGCCCTTTACAAAGTTGAGGAAATCCCCTATTTCCCTATTTTCTATCTTTCTGAGAGTTTTTATTATGGATGAATGTTGAATTTTGTCAAGTGCTTTTTCTGCATTGATTGATATGGTAATATGATGTCTTCTTTAGTCCTTTGACATGATCAGTTACATGATTGATTTTCAAATGCTTAACCAGCCTTGAATTCCTGGAATAAACTTCACTTGGTCGTGGTGTGTAGTTATTTTGAAATATTTCTGAATTCTATTTGTTAATATTTTGTTAAGGATTTTTACATCATGAGAAATATTGGTCTATAGTTCTTTTTTTTTTTTGTAATAGCTTTGTCTGGTTTTGGTATCACAGTCATTCTAGCTTCATAAAATAAAGTGGGAAGAATTATTCTCTGTTTTCTTAAAAAGCTTGTATAAAATTGGTGTTAATGATTTAAATGTTTGGTAGTATATTCTAGTGAAACCATCTGGACCTGGGTATTCCTTTTTTGGAAGTTTTAAAATTAAAAATTAAATTTCCATAAGTTATAGGGCTATTCAAATTATCTATTTCATAATGAGTGAATTATGATAGTTTGTATTTTCAAGAAATTGGTTCATTTCATCTAAGTTGTAAAATTTGTGTGTGTGGAGTTGTTGATAGTATTATACATTTGGTGTCTGCAGGGTCCTGTAGTGTTATTGCCTGTTTTATTCCTAATATTGGTAATTTTATCTTTTTTTCTTTCAGTCTTGCTTGAGGTTTGTCAACTTCATTGATATTTTTGAAAAACTATCTTCTCATTTCACTGATATTCTGTATTGTTTTTCTATTTACAATTATTGCCTTTTGTTCTTATCTTTATTCTTTTCTTCTGTTTGCTTTGGGTTTATTTTGCTGTTCTTGACATGAGACCTTAGATTATTGATTTGAGACTTTTCCTCTTTTATAGTGTGTGCACTAATTGCTAAAAATTTCCCTGTCAGCATTAATTTAGCTGTGTCCCACAACTTACCATATTTTGTATTTTTAAATTTCCTTTGAGACGTCCTTTTGACCCATGAATTATTTAAAAGTATGTTACTTAGTTTCCAAGTGTTTAGAAATTTTCCTGTTATTTTTCTGCTATTGATTTATAGTTTCATTCCAATGTGGTCAAAGAGCACACTCTGTATGATTTTAATTCTTTAAATCTGTTGAGGTCTATGTTACAGCCCAGGATATGACATTTTGGTACATGTTCCATGGGCACTTAAAAAGAATGTGTATTCTTAGGTGTTAGGTGTAGTGTTCTAGAAGTATCAATTAGATCCTGTTCATTGATGGTGTCATTGAGTTCTTCTATATCTTCTGATTTTCTGTTTCATTGTTTTTATCAAATTGGTGAGAGTGGAGTGGTGAATTCTCAACTATAATTGTGTATTTGTCTATTTTCCTTTTAGTTCTATCAGTTTTTGTTTCATGTATTTTGAAGTTCTCACTTGGTGCATATATATTTAAGATTTCTATGTCTTAGTGAACTAATTCTTTTGTCATTATATAATGTTTCTCTCTGATAATTTTATTTATCTAAAGTCTAACTTATCTGATATTAATGTAGTTACTTTCCTTTGACTAATGGTTGCATGATACACCTTTTTTCATCCTTTTACTTTGAACTTGCCTAATCATTATATTTTGAATGAGTTTTTTGCAATCAGTATATGATTGGGCCATGTTTTTAAATATACCCTGCCAATTTCTGTCTTTTTATTGATGTATTAGAACATCTTCTACACTTACTGTAATTATGGGTATGTTAGGGTGTAAGTCTGCCATTTTTTGTTTTATGTTTGTTCTTTCTATTTTCTTCCCCCACCCCACCTTTCTATAGGATACATGAACATTTTTTAGAATCCATTTTTATTTATCTGTATTGTTTTGAGTTTGCCTCTTAGAATAGCATTTTCAATTGTTGCTGTAGGTATTACGTTATATAAACATAACATAATCTACTTGTTTTGTCATTTTACCAGTTTGAGTACAGTATAGAACCCTTACCTCCCTTTATGTCTGTTTACCCAGTTTTTAATACAGTTGTCAAATATTTACTCTACATACATTTTGAATTACATTAAGCAGTGTTATCATTTTTGTTTCAACAATCAAATATAACTTAGAAAACTCAAGAGGAGAAGGAAAGCCTATTATATTTAGCCATATCTTCACTTATTGTATTTTTCCTTCCTTCCTAATGTTCCAGGGTTCCTTCTTTTTATCATTTCTGTTCTGTTTAGAAACTTTCTTTAGCCATTCTTTTAGGATAGGTCTGCTGGCAAAAAATTCTCTTCGTTTCCCTTCATCTGAGAATGTATTGATTTCCCCTTTATTCCTAAAGATATTTTTGCTTGGGTATAGGATTCTGAGTCAGCAGTTCTTTTTATCCAGCTCTTGAAAAGTATGTGCCACTTTCTTCTGGCCTCCATTATTTCTGATGAAAATTTTGCTGCCACTGTAATTATTTTCCCATGCAGGCAAGGTATCATTTTTCTCTGACTACTTTTAAAATTTTGTCTTTGTTGTTAGTTTTCAGAAATTTATTTCAATGTGTCTTGGCATGTATTTCTTTGGGTTTGTCCTATTTGGAGTTTGCTCGGCTTTTGAATCTGTAGGTTTATATTTCTTGTAAAATTTGGGAAGTTCATACATTATTTCTTTGAGTACTTTTTAGCCTCACCCTTTTTCTCCTCTAGGACTCTGATGACATGAATGTTAGATTTTTTGTTATACTTGCACAGACCCTGGACACTCCTTTCATTTTTTTAAAGTCAATATTCTCTCTGTTGTTCAGATTGGGTAATTTCTATTGGCCTATCTTCCAGTTCACTAATTCTTTCCTCTTTCTCCTCCATTCTGCTGTTGAGCCCATCTATTGAGATTTTTATTTCAGTTAGTATTTTTCAGTTCTAAAAATTTCCATTTGGTTCTTTATATCTGCTATATTTTTGCTGAGACCTTCTATTTTTTTCTAAGACCTATTTTTTCATTTATTTCAAGCATGTCTTAATGACTGAAGCAGTTTTGTCATGGCTATCTGGGACCCCTGGACCTCCCCATGATCCAGAAAGTTGAAGGTCAATGCTGAGCAAAGCAGGTCCTCCAAACTCCTGCTTTAGATCTAAAGCTTGGGTCCATTCTGGTTTGTTTGCTTGTGGCATACAGTTGTTAAAATAGTTTGATCTCCTCCTGATTATATGAATGAATGAATGATGTCCAGAAGCTCTAAGCTTATCTAGCACATCTAAGCCAAATCAATAAAACTCCTCTGAATGTGCTTTTCTCCATAGTCTGCATTATTGATTATAACTATTATTGTGATTGAGTCCCCTTTTTTTCATATATCAACTCTGGCCTGAGTATATACATTGAGGTGTTCTAGTAGGGTCACCATAACTCCAAGCCAGTTCTTCCTTGCTTCATTTCTAACCAAAGTATTATTTCCTGAGACAGACCTTTTTTGGGATATATTCTTTGTGCCTCCAAAACTGGCTCCACAAGTCACACCATCATAGCCTGCTTCATGGGCCATGTGACTTATTTCACATTTTGCAGTGAAGTCTGTCTTCCTTCCTATTGGGCTTTGGTTCAAGAGAAATTATGAAATGACTCCCTAGGATTACATTCTGAACCCATATCCTCCTCAAACACTAGTTATTTGTCATCTCCATCCACACTCCTTTCCCTAGTCCACAAGGTAGGCTTCTTATTTTTTTTAACGTAGGACTGCCATCTATATTCTATAAAATTTTTCTTGGCTTGATATTTTTTCTTTGATTTAGTTATTCTGTTATCAAGCCCCTTTACTCTGTAGACAAACCAAGGTGTCCTCTAATCCTTCTTTTATGGTTCTATCCACTCTTAAAAATTATCCATTGGCTTATTGGGAACTCACATCTCTTGGGATTTTCAGCTTTTGCATTTTTCCATGAACAGATGAATAGTTGAGACAGAGAAACAGAAGCATTCAAGTTCTGATTACCTATTTGCCAATTACAAGGTTGCCATGATTTTCAGGAAGAGATTGATTACTTCAAATCCTCATTCTGATGAAATTACTTTGAAACACTTTAACTTGGTATTTGAGATTGCTAGTTGCTGACTTTATTTATTTATTTATTTTTTTAGGCAGCACTCAGCATATTTGGCATGGTTGGTGGACCACTTCTGGGCTTGTTTGCTTTGGGCATTTTGGTTCCCTTTGCCAACTCAATTGTAAGTATAAAGAGTGAGTATGTGTAAAGCTTACTTTCCCAACTATAATAGCAGCTCTATAGTTTTTTCTCAATTGGAAAGATATAGTTCCTTTGATATCTGTCATTAGGGACTTGATGACTTAAATTACTCATATTGTCTTTGCTGGGGTATAAAGTAAAGTGCTATGCACTGGGACTTTGCATATATGAAACTAAATGGAAACTGCCAAAATAATATATATTATAAATATTATATAGCTAAATCATAATATTATAATTATATAACTAACCATATAATATAGAATATATAACATAACTAAAAGATATATATTATGAAACAATATATATTATATTGTACACTATATATAGTATATATTATGAATAGTATATAATATAACTAAAGGAGCAACATTTTTTTGTGCATTTATCTTTTTGCCCTTCTTGAAAATCACTAGGATTTCTAGAAACATTTTTTTAAATTTAAAGTAAATTAATTGGCATATAGTATATTATTAGCTTCAGAGGTCACTAAACTCTACCTCTGAAAATCACTAGGATTTAAGGAAAGGAGATCAACAGGCTCAGATGTGAAAAGATTTAAGGGAAAAAGAGCTGAGGATACCTGTGAATAGCCAGAGTACAGCAAAGAGAAACAATAAGATAAGTGTTTCAGCACCTTGACCAGAGAGTTTATATTCCTGATATTTAAAGCTGTAGTTCCAATATCATGGTTCTGGCCCCAAAGGGGTGATCATAATTGGGAATGGTATCCAGAATGAGGTAATATCTCTTTTCTACAGAGACATTTCTGTGCTTTGAAGTACTAAATTTTGTTTGGAATAAATTAAATTGAAATTATTTCTCTGAAAGCCAGGAGAAACAGGGTCAGTCCTGCTGTAAGCTGAAGTCCAGGAAAAACTGATAATGTATATATGGTTGTTTCATGCAGACGTTGAATAAAAGCAGAACCATGACTTTGCATTTAGAATTCCATTTTCTTCATGAAGCATTAGTGATTGGTAAGGCAGCTACTAATAAGGGCTATTACCATTATTATTAATAACAATTCTTAAGGAAAATAATTCTTAACAGATGATAGCTATACCTGTGGTAAGCATAGCATAGTGTATAGAGATATTGAATCACTGTGTTGTATCCCAAAACTAATGTAACATTGTGTATCAACTGTACTCAAATAAAATTTTTTAAAAAAATAATTGTTCTCAGGGAGCCTGGGTGGCTCAGTCAATTAAGCGTCTGCTTTCGGCTCAGGTCATGATCCCAGAGTCCTGGGATCGAGCCCCGTGTCAGGCTCCCTGATCAGCAGGAAGCCTGCTTCTCCCTCTCCCTCTGCCTCTGCCTGCCACGTCCCTGCTTGTGCTCTCTCTCTCTCTGTCAAATAAATAAAATATTTGAAATAATAATTATTATTCTCAAAAAATAATTGTCAATGAAATATCATATGAAAAGCTAGTTTGGTAGAAATTAATCACAATGAAAGAATAGTTTGTATCTACCTTGGAATGTTGAAGCTTTGATTAGACTCTTTGCATTATGAAATGAACAGTGGTTTGTTGAGTGTCTGAAATATTAAGAAAGACTGACTTGGTTTTTGACATTTACTACTACCGTGGGTTGCCTTCAGAAAAGCTGTAGCAGACTAGGTCCCACATAACCTTTTCTCAGGAGAAGTATGATATTATTACTCCCGTCATAGGAGGTACCTCTTTTTACAGTACCCACATTTTTCATTAGCAGAATATCTACTCTTGCTTTGGAATGGACTCCCTGTCTTCCTCTCTCCCTACATCTTTCTCTCCCTTCCTCTCCTTCTCTCCTTCTCTTCCGTTGCTTTTCATCCTCCCTCATTTTCTCCCTCCTTCCCCCCCTTCCTCTCATTTTCATTCATTGAATATTTATGAGCTAAGCACTGTCCTGGGAATAAAGAACACTGAATATTTCTGCCCTCATGGGCTTTATAATTTTGTGGATTTTTGATCAAGCCATGTACAATGCTGAGAATAAGCAAGTATGGGCTGTCAACAGCTGGCCACACTACTATTCCAACCTCATATTATTGAAAAAATATTTATTGCATGCCTGCTATATGTCCAGCACTGTAGGTGCTGGGGTACCAAAACCAAAAATATCTAATTCTGCTTTCAAGGTTCACAGCTTAATGAAAGAGCTCATAGTGTTTGTCCCCAACATAAATCATCTGATCTTGTCATCAGCCTTCATCTTATCCCATCAACACACCATTCTTTTTTCCTGCCCTGTGATTTTGCTTATGTTTTTCCCCTTACTTCAAATATTCTCCCCTGTCTTCTCTATGGTGAGCCCAAGGCAAAAGCTGCTCTGTCTGGTCAGTATTCTTAAAAGAAGGGGGAAGTTTTCACCACAGAAGAAGAGGCCTACCAGCTTGAGGTTTGCTTTTGGCCCACTCGTTTGGAACTAGGGCTTAAATCATTCAAGGTCCAGCAGAACACCTGGACTGCTGGTGAAAAACAGAAGTGGGGAACCCAAGTTTTCCAAAGATTGAGAAACCAAATGTCTTCAGAGGGGACATCTCTTCTTGTCTTTAGAAATACTTGGTGTGGTTGTATGCAACATTGCAGTCATTTGTGAACACTGCTTCCTATTTCCTCCCTAATTACCCTGAAGTACAGTTACAGTCACGCATGTTGTTAAGTATGGAAATGAACTCTGTGTCTGCTTTCCCCTTCATAGTCTGTTGTTCATTTGGCATACCATTTGTTCACAGATTAAGCAAAAATAGAGGGGGCAATTGGCCTGGGGTCAACCATGTGATTGTTGTAGTTCTTTGGGTGTGAAGAGAGGAGGAGGCCAGAACAGAGTGCTAGCCATGGAAACAGAGTAGAAGGGATGGAATTATGAGATTGACAAAAAGAAAAATGAGCAGGGTGAGATAGGGATATGAAAAGGGAATGGAGTTACTGAGTCCCCAGGGCTCTGGGCTGAGGGTCCAGTGGCCCACACCACCCTTGACAAGAAGCAAGGATCTTGGGAGAGAGAATGCTTTTAGGAGAGAAGATGGTAAATCTGGCTTGGACCACGCTGAGCTTAATCTTCTGATGTTAATTTCTATCTCAAAGAAAACTATATTATTTTTCTTTTAAAAGCATTCTTGTTTTACAGGGAGCACTTGTTGGCCTGATGGCTGGATTTGCTGTTTCTTTGTGGGTCGGAATTGGAGCTCAACTTTATCCTCCACTGCCTGAAAGAACTATGCCACTAAGCCTTGAAACCAGTGGCTGTAACAGCACATACAATGTGACAAATTGGGTGACAACCACAGAAATGCCATTTTCTACTAGTGCTTTTCAAGTACACAATGTGGGAAGGTATTGAATTAAGCTTTATAATGTCATATTTTAAAGAAGTGGATGTGACAGGTAGAGAACCCCAGTTGCTTTTTGTCTTGCCTACAGTGCTGTGATTTTCCCTAATTCTGAAATGGGTAGAGCCCTTGTGGCTTTCTGGCTATAATATTTTGTTTGGAAACAACAAAAATTACTGTATGTTCTTAATTTTGGTAGAAACCTCTGCCTCACAGATCTGGAGAAGACTTGAATAATAACAAAAAAATTCTATTATGGGTAAATGCTACCAGAATATCAGCTCTAGTTGAATGAAAAATCAGCTTTGTGAACTAAAAATGTTTTAAATGAAAAGCAAAATTATAAAAGAAACGTTGCTTATATAGGTTTTGAAGTATAGCCTTTATAGTCTAAAAGCTACAATCATCTAAATATGTTAGATCATTCCTATTTGTTTAGATTTAAAAATTCCTGATCTTTAGAGCACTGGCAATGGATTGCAGCTGTGATCAACTCACTTGCTAGAGTTTTCTGTATGCAGTATATTTTGGGCTCTGGATCCTTATTTCATCTGATTTAATGAAATGATGTAGATCTATGGGTAGGTGAGTGTTCTATAATATAGTGGATATAGGGCAAGACTTTCTTTAGTGGACAATTAAATCTCTAGCCTTAAAGCATAAACCCCTTGGAGATATTCAAGGAATACAAAGATGAGGTTGCTGCCCCTAAATTATTGCCCCCAGTTCCAGCTTTCCTAGAATGAAACCATTAAAGACTCATCCGCTTTGGGTCAAGACATGATGGCTGCCTTTTAAACTGGACGCACTCCTGAGAGAGGGAATGTGACTTATTATTAGTGATTCATGTTCCAAACAAAACCCAACTATGAGAATGCTTGCCAATGGAAGTTCAATGCTGCTAAATGCTGCATGAGTAGAGAGAAAAGGTAGTTCCAGAGCCTGAGGCATATTTGGGGGAGGTTTGACTAGGTGGGGTGCCATGGGGTGAGGGGCAGAGAAATGCCAGAAGCAGTTTGGACAAGCATGAACACACTAATGTTTGTGGGGGGAGGGTAGTTGTTTGAGTCAGAAAGGGAGAAAAAAATAATAAAAGGGTACATGGGAGGACATTCAGGATATACTTCTTGTTTCACAATTTTGCTTAGCATTTGTCCTGATTGTATAAATCTCTTTATTAAAGAGTCTGAAGCAAAATAGTTATTTTGATTCTGAAATAAATTTAGTATGTGCCTGGTACCATAATAATTACTTTTACCTGTTAGCTTATTTGTAAAATAACAGGTAATAAACAAGAATTTCTTTCTTTCTTTTTTTTTTTTTTAAAGATTTTATTTATTTGACAGAGAGAGAGATAGCGAGAGAGGGAATACA